TTTTTTTTTTTTGAGACGGAGTTTCACTCTTGTTACCCAGGCTGGAGCGTTACCCAGGCTGGAGTGCAATGGCGCGATCTCGGCTCACCGCAACCTCCGCCTCCTGGGTTCAGGCAATTCTCCTGCCTCAGCCTCCTGAGTAGCCGGGATTACAGGCATGCACCACCATGCCCAGCTAATTTTTTTGTATTTTTTAATAGAGACGGGGTTTCACCATGTTGACCAGGATGGTCTCGATCTCTTGACCTCGTGATCCACCCGCCTCGGCCTCCCAAAGTGCTGGGATTACAGGCGTGAGCCACCGCGCCCGGCCCATTATTATTATTAGAGACAGAGTCTCAGTCGCCCAGGCTGGAGTTCAGTGGCACAATCTCGGCTCACTGCAACCTCTGCCTCCTGGGTTCAAGTGATTCTCCAGCCTCAGCCTCCCCAGTAACTGGGATTACAGGTGCCCACCACTGCGCCTGGCTAACATTTGTATTTTTAGTAGAGACTGGGTTTCACCACCTTGGCCAGGATGGTCTCAAACTCCTGACCTCATGATCCACCTGCCTCGGCCTCCCAAAGTGCTGGGATTATAGACGTGAGCCACCATGCCTGGCAATTTTTTGTGTTTTTAGTAGAGATGGAGTTTCACCATGTTGGCCAGGCTGGGTTATTTTATCATTTGAAGACAGGGTGTACCTCTGTCACCCAGGGTGCAGGATCAGTTTCCGTGGCTCACTGCAGCCTTGACCACTTGGGCTGAAGCACCCTCCTGCCCCAGCCTCCTCAGTAGCTTCCTGAGACTGCAGGTGCAAACTACCACACCGGCTGCTTTTTTTTTTTTTTTTTTTTTTTTTTCCCCAAGAGATGGAGTCTCACTGTGTTGCCCAGGCTGGTCTTGAACTCCTGGGCTCAAGCAGTCCTCCAGCCTCCACCTCCACCCAAAATGCTAGGATTACGGGCATGAGTCACATCTCCCAGCCCTAAATGACGATTTTTTTTTTTGAGACAGGGTCTTGCTCTGTCATCCAAGCAGGAGTGGTGGTGAAATCACGGCTCCATGCAGCCTCGAGCTCCCAGCCTCAAGCAATCCTCCCACCTCAACTTCCCAAGTAGTTGGCACTACAGGTGTGCACAGCTGGCTATTTTTCTTTCTTTAAGACAGAGTCTCCCTCTGTCACCCAGGCTGAAATGCAGTGGAGCAATCTTGGTTCACTGCAACCTCCGCCTCCTGGGTTCAAATGATTCTCTTGCCTCAGCCTCCTCAGTAGCTGGGATTACAGGCACGTACCACCACACCCGGTGAATTTTTGTATTTTTAGTACACACGGGGTTTCACCATATTGGTCAAGCTGGTCTTGAACTTTTGACCTCGTGATTCACCCGCCTCGGCCTCCCAAACTGCTGAAATTACAGGTGTGAGCCACTGTTCCCGGCCTAATTTTTTTTTTTCCCTTTCTTCCTTCCTCTTGTTGAGACAGGAGTTTCACTCTTGCTGCCTAGGCTGGAGTGCAAAGGTGCAATCTTGGTTCACCACAACCTCCGCCTCCAGAGTTCAAGCAATTCTCTTACCTCAGCCTCCCAAGTAACTGGGATTACAGGCATGCGCCACTGTGCCCGTCTACTTTTGTGTTTTTAGTAGAAATGGGCTTTCACCATGTTGGCCAGGCTGGTCTCAAACTCCTGACCTCAGGTAATCCACCCGCCTCGGCCTCCCAAAGTGTGGGGATTACAGGCGTGAGCCACCGTGCCCTTCCTGTAAATGATTGCTAAGATGCTAAACAACTCTGCTGGTGTTGTCTGGTCAATCCTCTGGTTCTTTCCCCTCTGACCACATTCTGACCTCTTCTCAGAATATCCCAGCCATTTGTCTTTTCTACCTCTGATTCCACCTTGAACTCCTAAAGCTCTTAGAGAGCCCCTTACCAAGGAACCTCGCAACAGCCCCAGGCCTGTTCACTCTGGAGTGAACCCAGGAGGCCGAGGTTGCAGTGAGCCGAGATTGTGCCCCTGCGCTCCAGGGCGATAGAGCAAGACTGTCTCAGAAGAAGAAAAAAAAAGCATGGGGCTGGAAGCAGTAGCTCACGCCTGTAATTCCAGCACTTTGAGAGGCCGAGGCGGGCAGATCATGAGGTCCGGAGATAAGAGACCAGCCTGGCTAACACGATGAAACCCCGTCTCTACTAAAAATACAAAAAAAAAAAAAAGTATAACAGACAATATATATAAGGCAATAAATATATATACCCTAAAGCCCCAAGTGTACCCCCTGCATCCCATTTATTCTGCCTAAGTGCCCAGAGGTGGGGTCCCCTCCCCACATTACCCCCTCACAAACACGTCGTAGCCTAACAGAATACTTAAGATCAAAATAACATTCTGCTGTTTTCGGATTTTTACTTACATGATCCTATTTAATCCTCACAATGCACCTGCCGAGAAGAGATTATCATCCCATTTGACAGAAAGCTCAGAAACAACGTGGGTCTTAACCACCAGTTGACGACGAAGCCAGGTGGGACGTCCGGCTTCCTAGAGAACTACTCCAGCAGCACGCACTGCAGCCCGCCCCCACTTCCACTGGAACCCAGAAGCCAGAGCGCGTTGATTAGCAACACCTCAGGGCCCTGGGGCAGTGGGAGGATAGAGAACACGTGGGTGCTGATTAGCTAACAGGCGCCTGCTGTCTTAGAATAGTTCAAACAGCAGCGGGGTGAGGCCTGAGACGCTAAGAAAATATGGATTAAGTGTGGTGGGCTGGGTTGCGTTAACCATTCCCAGCATTCTCTGGGGAAGTCCCACACCTAATAGTCAACAGACATCCCCTGCGGTGGGTGATGTTGGCAGTGGCGGGAGACACGCACAGTTTTTAAAGAGGTCCTTGTTCACACTCCACCCGCACCAGTGGACTTCAGCCCCTGTGGTATTCCCTCCTTTAGGGCTAATTTCAGAAACTGTCTAAAATTAAAATCCAGGAGCTAGAGATAGGCTGAGGTGAGAATGCTGAGCTGTTCAGACACTGACCAGGTTAACTTTACAAGCTCACTGGCTTCCAGAGGGTTGGAGACCCTTCTTAGCCTCCTAGCTCAGAGGGAAAAGTGGAGATGGAGGGACGGGAGGCTGCCGGTTTAATCTTCACCCAATGCCCACTTCAGCCAGGGGTTCCTGGAAGGACGGGCTGTGGCGTATTTCATAACACTTTCCTCCCTCTACTCTCTTCAGGGCCCAGGAGGCAAACCTTCCAAGCCTCCCGGTCCCCGTGGCTTCCCTCTCACCGAGTCCCAGCCCTACCCCTTCTCCCGCTGAGCCCTGGCTGGGATACCTTGGCCGCCGGACGCACTCCTCAGGCCCCGCGCGCTCGAGCCTCAGGGGACGCAGCCGCCAGACCCTGGGGCCGCCTCCCCGCGCAGCACCTCCTGCCTCCCGCGCAAGCACGTGGGACCTTGACTCGCCGCCCCCGCCTCCTCCTGCTCGGCGTCCTAGCCAGCGGCTTGGGGCGCGGCGCGTGGGCGTGCTGCGGGGCGACCATGGCTGTAGACTGTTACCTCCAGTTCCCACAGTAACAATCGAAAGCCACGGTTGCCCTGGAGACGCGGGGGCGGGGCGCGCGGACGGCGCCGGCGCGGGGCGGGCTGACGTCAGGGCCGCGGGGGGCCGGAGGGGCGGCCGGGGCCGAGGAGCGCGCGTGGGCCACCGCCCCTCGCAGCCCCTGGGGGCCGGCACGGGGCGGCCAGACGGCGGCGCCTGCGTTGGTCAGCACCGCGGACAGCGGCGGCCCGGGGGCGGGGCCCTGAGAGACGGGGACGGGGGTCCCGGGGCGCGGCGGCAGCGGCCGGGGCCGCAGTCCTGGGGCGGGGCCAGGCGTCGGTGGCCGTGACTGGAGACTGTTACTGAGGGCGGCCCGGGCAGTAAGCAGTCTAGAGCCAAGGTGCCGGCGCGCTGTCCGGGCGGGGTGCCCCGGTCGCCCCGGCTGGGGGCGCTGCTGCTCCGCCTCCCCCGCGTCTCCCGCCCTGCTCCGCCCAGCGCTCGCGGACAGGCACGCGGCCGCTGACGTCAGAGGGCCGTGACGTCAAAGATGTCCCAGCGGGGGCACTTCCGGCGCCGGGGGGGGGCGTGGGGGCGGGGCGGCCCCTGGCGAGGCCCCGCCCCCCGGTCCTGAGAGGACAGCTCCGCTCGCAGAGGCGGGAAGTCGTGGGCGCCGCGGGACCCGCTGGACGGGACCGGTCGGGGAGGGGCGCCCGGAGCCCTGCGGGGCGCGGGGTCCCAGGAGGGCCCGGGAGGCGGGGGTGGGCGTCCGTCTCTCGCCTGCGCCCCCGCTCAGCCGGCCGGGCAGCGAGGCTGAGTCACCGCGCCGCAGGGAGGGAGAAGAGGGGGCGCGTCTCCTGGGGCGCCAGCACCTTCGCCCCACTTTCCTGGGAGGATGGCGCGGGAGCCTCAGGAAAGCCGGAGGGGGGGTCTCTGAAGTCGGTCCTCCGCTCGATGCTCCTCCAAGTAGCTGCGTCTCCATCGGGCGCCGGCAGGTGCCGCGCGGACTGGTGTGGGTCTCCGGCCCGGCTCTGCCGCCGTGAGGGGACCCCGGTGCCCCCCGCCCGCCCCGTGCCCACTTTGAGGGCCGCCCCCCGCCGCCTGCCCGTCCCGCCCGTGTCCGCACCTCTGCCCATCGTGACCGTACAGTCCCGCTTACCTGCGGGCCGCGTCGCCACTGCGGGGTCGCCTCCCGCAGCCCGGCCGGCGCGGCGGCTTTTATAGACGCGCGTAGTACTCGTGCGGCGGCTCATTCATGCGGCCGCGGCTCCTACACACTGACGCGCTGCCGACGTCAGCGGGGAATTTAGGAAATGGGAAGAGGGGCTATTTATAGTGGCGAGGCGGGGGGTGGGGACCGAGGCGACCGGGAGCCGGGACGGGAGGAGGGGCGCGGAGGCAGCGACGGGGTGGGGGGAGCCGCGGCCCTGCCCAGCGGACAAGGGGTTCACTTTCCGGAACCGCGGGCTGGGGCCGGCAGGCGGCGCGGGGGGGAGGCGCGGCGGGCTCTGCGTGCTTTTCCACGCTCTCCTTCCGGAGACCCCGCAGCTCCTGGGGGTCTTCGCCGGGCCGCCCCTGCCCCCTCCTCAGTTCCCGGACCTGACGGCTCTGCCGTCACACCCCGCATAGCCACTGCGGTGTCGTCACCCTGTCGTCCTGCGGGGCGAGCAGGAGAGGAAGCTGGGCTCCCGTGGGGGCCTGGGGCGCAGCTAGGGCTGTGGCGTCGGGGCCGGGAGAAGAGTTGGGGATCCCAAGGTGGCCCAGGGGTCTTTAGCGGAGGAGCCTGGACCCTGGGAGGGAAGGCCCAGCGTGGGTTCAGGTCCCCTCCAGGAGCTGGAGACTAAGGGAAGAGGTTGGGGAGGGTGGTCGGGCCTCCCCAGAAATGAGGAAAGGGACGCTCTGAGGGAGGTGGGGGGACGCGCTAGAGGTAGGGGTGAGAGGAATGGGCAGCCTCAGCGAGAGGGAGCTCAAAGGCTGTCAGTGCCACGCTCCAGAGCCTGGCAGCCAGGGCCCACCCTCGGACCATTTGTGGCACGATGGACGATCCGAGAGCTCATGTTAGGGTGGTAAAGCGTGAAGGAGTCCAGGGACACGGCACCTTGGCCAGGAGGGGATGAGGAGGACCATTTCCTGGAGGCCAGAATTGGCAGGGAGAGCCCCTGACTTGTGGGGCAGTCCCGCTGCTTGGGAGCAGGCAAATGCATGGTCGTGGCCCGGTCTGGCTCCATCGAGATCGAGGAAGGCTCTAAATGGGGG